ATGAACCTAACGAGCATGTCTTTGTGGGAGGAAGCCAGAGAGAACCCACACAGAACCAACACATACACGGGGAGAACATGCAAACTCTGTTTGGAGCAATGGATCAAGTTTAATCCTTTTTGGACAAATATTTATGCTGTCAGATAGGCACTCGCCTACTCATTATCATTCCAGATACTGGTTTTACAATCAGAAACACCAACTGAAAGCTTACTGCAGGGTCTTTCTGATTAGTGACCACTCACCTTCTGCCGCAGGTATCTCGTACTGCACATCATAGGAAGGTTGTGACGAATCTCCTGCAACATTCAAAGCATTCAAATGTAATTACTTAAATGCATTTCTCCCCAAGAACTTTTTAAATAAGCCATTAATCAAACAGTCAACTGTGACTTATCACATAGTAGTCACCCATTTACATTTGTGTTGCAACACAATACTTTGAGAAAACCACAACTTGGATTTCTTCACAATTAGTTGTTATGTTACATGTAGACACAAAAACATCTCTCTACCTGATATAAAGGTAAGTAAACACTGAGAAACAAACATAGGAGAAACTATTGCTATTGCTCTTACTCATGCTGTGGGAGGTCGGTGGGGGCATTGACCCCATCTCCAACCCGCCGTTGGGAGAACCCTGCATTCCAATCATATCCTCCTCATCTATTTCTTCTTCCTCCTCTGCAAGATCATCATCATCTCCCAATGGGCCAAAGTCTCCCCGGCCCTGGTCTTCGTCGTCCATCTCCAGAATCTGGAGCACTATTTTCTCTGTCTGGTTAAGGTCCCTGGAAAGACGTGAGTTGAGGCCCCTGTGGGGAACTGTCCCTGACCTCATAGCAGCCACTTTCCGCTTGGTGTCACACTTAAGATCGGACCATTTCTTGATGACCTCAATGACCTCCCGTTGGCACTCCCCAATCTCATTGATTCGTGCGGTAATCTCTGCCCACACTCGCTTTTTTGCGTCTGTTGGCACGCCACGGTTGAATTTACCTGTCAGGGGAAAACAAAATTAACTTCAGCACATGAAATTAAATGTCATTGACAGTGATCCACCAACATTTTGTTAGGTCATTCTAGTATACAGGCGGGCGGCGGCGTAGCTCAGTCTGTAGGGACTTGGGTTGGGAATCAGAGGGTCGCCGGCTCAAGTCCCGGCACGGACCAAGCCCGGAAACTGGCCTGGTAGCTGGAGAGGTGCCACTCCACCCCCCCACCAGCCCAGGAGCGCCCACCGTGGGCAGTGCCCCCACTCCGACATCCCTCCATTAGTGCATCTCCATAGGATCCTGTTTGTGTGTGTATTTCGGCCTATGTTGCCTACTAAGTCATTCTATTGTACGGGCGGGAGGCGGCAGTAACTCAGTCTGTAGGGACTTGGGTTGGGAACCGGAGGGTCGCCGGCTCAAGTCCCGGTGCGGACAAAATCTTGAAGTTGGGCTGGTAAGTGGAGAGGTGCCAGATCACTTCCTGAGCACTGCCGAGGTAGCCTTGAGCAAGGCACCAAACCCCCTCCCCACCATCAGCTCAGGAGTGCCCTGATATCACTCTGACATCTCTCCATTAGTGCATGAACATAGGATCCTGTTTCTGCATGTGTGTGTGTATTTCAGCCTGTGTGTGTTGCATGACTTACAGAGTGTAAAAAACAGAAATTTCCCCTTGCGGGATCAATAAAGTAAATCTTACCAACTATAATCATACGATGCTTCCTCACTTCATCCAGCAGTATGTGGACTTCACTGAAGGAGAAACGAGCTTTCCTTTTCTTGAAGCGAGTACCACTGTCTGGGTTGTAGTATAATGGTGAAGACATCCTCCACACACACAGTCAGTCGTTACCAAGGTGAACTTGTTGTCAATTATCTGCTTCAACTTCTGCAGCTGGATGTCAGATGTGTCCCCTGATAAACAAACAACACAGTTAGAAAAGCACATGATTGTTTATGTGAAATCCTCCCACAGTTCACTCATGTTTTGTTACATTGAAATTGATATATAAATCTTAGATTGAGGGCTATGCACAGAAAGTTGACTTCATAAGAGCTCAAATGAAGAGAAATCGATGAAATCATTGAAGCTCGACAGCTGAGGAAATCACCGTGTGAGCACGCCTTTTTCATTAATTATGCTAAATAAATCATAAACATTACACACGTCTAACTGAGGCGGTGAATGGATAGTTTGATGTTTTATCACAAAGTGTGGAAGTAAAACAGAGTTAAGTTTGTGTGATAATGTCAGAGCAGAGAGTGAATGAACAATGGACGATGCTATGACAGCCTAGTTAGCTTTATGCAAAGCAGTGTTTACAGTCAAAATGACATTACAATACATTCTCTTTAACGAGTAGCTTGTTTATTTATTTCTTACTTATAACGTGAAACGTGCAGTTAGCTAGTTAGCTCTTTATTGTAGCATTACACGACATCACACGCTAGGTTAGCTGTTAGCTTTGCTATGCAAGAGTCAGAAATGGCTAACGAAGCATTTATATCATCTAACCTCACTGCAAAATGTATATCCTAATGGTAAATACAGTTGAATAGATGTTGAATATACCTCCGTGTCAAAGAAGTTGGGAATTAGTCCACAATCGTAATGATAAACTTCCTTATCGACAAAATAGCAACCGTCAAGCTAACCTGTCTGAAGCTAATGCTACACAACAAGATGTCCGGTTACCATGCTAACCAGAGCTAACCGGTTACCATGCTAACCAGAGCTAACTGAGGCGGCTGTGGACACACATGTCGGCACATGTTTGACAATATTGCAGGACATTTTAGAGTTTGTTTTCACGTGTAACTTCTAACAATGAGCAAGATTTATTCTGTTGGTTTTACAATTTACATAGCATTGTGTTATTTCTTAAAATTTCCCGTTTGTGACGATGAACTTTTATTTTGAAGGCTCACAACGACGGTGATGGAGGCTGACTTGATTCAACACCACACACACACACACACACACACACACACACACACACACACACACACACACACACACACACACACACAGACACAGACACAGACACAGACACAGACACAGACACACACACACACACACACACACACACACACACACACACACACTGTGCACTCAGTGTATTTTGAATCCACTTATTCATTAAATGGGACTGTGTAATAAATATTAATTGCAATACTATCCTACACATCTGCAATATATTCTGACTTGTCCTGACGTATTTCAATTAAATCAGAGAATATTAATTATCATTTTGTAGTGCGTTCTTCAGTAGATTACTACATCTGCCTGTAAATAAAGGGTAGGAATTAATATTAGGCCCCCTTTTTTTTCCAAGTGTTGGCATGACCTGGATCAGATATGTGGGCCCACTCAGGTGATGCTTGGCAACTTTGGCAAGACCAATTAGTCATTAAAAATTTAGGCTAAGAAATATCACGAGAGGGAGTGATGTTCTGAATTTCGGCATTGCTGTGATTCGGTCGTGGGTATGAGGCTGAAGGTAAACAACAGGTTGATTTCCAGAACAATATCTTGACCTATAATGTAATATTGCTTTTATACAACAGCCCTATTAGCAGCACATTTGTAGTAACAGCTGATTATTATTACTTGCTCCACCAATGGTGTACCTGTTCTGGCACTGCCCTATATATCAACAGATTTTGGAAAGATGTATCTCATTATATTGTTGATAACATTGATTCTGAATTTTCTATGTGTATTTATCTGTGTCTATATATTTCATGTTCAGATGTTTATAAAAAATAATACTTGCTCTGCCAACTCAACGACCAGTAGTCCAAGAACTGGACTGGGACAAAACTGGACTTTTACTTTGTTTTATGTTCATGTGTTTTTAAGTAAACGTATCATGGCACCAGTGACATAGTCATCAAGTCACAAGACTCTGTTTTGTGAGTTATAGTTAGCAGCTTGTCCAGTATAATGTTAATAAAGGGTATCAGAGCACAACGGTGATACATACTGTGAAAAGTCACAGTGATGTTGTACTTTATATCAGCACTCATGGCTGCCCCTGTACAATCACATGACTTTATCAGAACCAAATGTTGGAATATGGAACAAGTCTGAATAAAGTAAATAGTATTGAAGATAAATCTTTGGAATCATGACTGTTACTTGACTATATTGAATGAATGTTAGAATAATTAAAGGAACCGAAGTTTACAATCTGACTAACCAATAGATGTGAGTGGTTTTATTTATTCCATTATTCAAACTGTCATTAAAGGTCATATATTACCCTCCTTTTTAAATAAGTCTCAGAGGTACCTCTCTGGAAGGGCTTTTACACTATCTCACTCAATGTCCAATTCTTTGCGTTGAGGAGGCAGACTCAGAGGGCAGAACAAACACCTAGCTGTGGGAGTGTCACCCACCTGGGGGAGGGGTTACTGCCCTTTGTGATGTCATGAAGGTAAAATCTCCAAACTGCCTGTTTGAGCACACATTTTCTGAAAAGTGGAACAGGCAAAAGACGGAGAGGATGAACTTTTCTCATCATTGGGGGGTTAGTGGACACATTAGTATTAGAAAAACATGGTGAAGTATATTTTGCATAATATGTGACATTTAAATAACCTTTGTTCAACGTTTTCAAGAGTGGACTATCCATTTCATATGTTCAAACCTCATGTTCATTAAAATAAACATTCCTTCTTATCATGCAATTATACAAATTTTCCCAATTTTCACCTTCAAGCAGATTGTGATTGCTTAGCTTTGCACCTTCATGAAAACCTTCATACTCAGTTTTGAGCAGCAACTGAATGCAAGGTTTTTCTAAAAATAAGCAAAAAATGTATATTAATTTTGCACCTACTATTTAGGATTCAAATGTTTCAAATTGTTTTTGTATAGTTTACCTTTGGTCCAAAGTAGATCCCAGTTCAGCCTCTAAGTGAGAACCTAATATTAAACCACTCATGACTCAAAGCAGGCAGCAACAACATTTCAAGTGGATTAAGAACAAGAGTCAAACATTGAACATACGATGTTTATTCCAAATATGGCACAGGAATTTATCTGACCAAGAATTTTCAGTAACAGTTTGAAGATCTTGGCTACAACTACATTGTTAAAAACTTTCATAATTGCTTCTTTGCTACTGGCTGCATGCATTAGTGGCATACTTATATGTTATATATTATATCACACTTTGTGCTGGCACTATCTGGTGCAGGCATTCCAGAGAGTGCACATTAATATGTGATCAGTGAACTCAAACACATAGATTGTTTCAGCACAACCAGCATTAAACATAAAATCCCAAAATATAAGCCTGCCCCAAGAACACAGTCTCTCCTGGGATGTGAGTTTCGCTCATAAGGAAAAGACATAGAGCCGGATATACTGAGTATACACTAACATTTACAATAGGTCACTTTAAAAATATGTTTATGTTGTTTCTTAATTGTGTAGATCATTCAGTGGCTGCAGAAAGCACCAGGATTCCTAACTGCTATAAACAACAACAGTGCAACTCTGATGCAAAAATAATGGAGTGTACTAATTATTAAACAATGATCTGCAGGTGTGCCAAAGTTTAAACATCAAATAAACATTTATTTTATTTCACTTTTAACCAAAATGGTGAGCTGTGTAACTGTGATGTTTTAGTGAACAAGAAAAATCCAATCAGTTGAATTGTGCGTGGTTACACAAACACATCAAAAGTATTTTAACAAATATTAAAACTCGGATGTATGGAAAAAAAAAATGCAGACTAAATCTCCCAAATACCTGAAAGGCTCTGCAGGGACATGCTCCACCCACACATTTTTACCCATGTTGTGCAAATTAAACCTTTTCCTAGGAAAAGCAGGTAAAGACAAAGCAATGTTCTGCTAGCTTGTAGCACCTGTTAGGGTGGGACAACCAACCTGTTCATGACTCATGTGACTGCAAAGGAGTTTTCTGCTTAGGTAGACGCTAATAAGAGGGTATTATGGCAATTTGGACATCACTAAACTTCTACAATGGACGTTGAAGGTGTACATACTTCCACCCCAACAGGTGTAACAAGAGAAGAGAGAAGATGTCAAAGAAGCAGTTTTCATATGCTGACAGATCTGTGAAGGCTATGATCAGAAAGGTGGGAGGATATTACAGTATAGGTGGAAATTCAAAGCAAAATGTATAACCCAAGTGACAGCTTCACACCGCTCACTCTAACAGAAAACTTGTACCTAGTAGGAGACTGTTGACAGTGACAACTGAACCAGGCTTTTCCTGTTTATGTCAGGAGGTGACACTGAACTGTAAAATGGCTTAAGCTAGCCTAAGGATAAGGTGGGTACAGATGTTGGTCTTTCCTTATTTTCTATAAAAGCAAAACAGACATTACTAATAGCTGATTGTCACCCATACACCAGTATCTAACCCAACAATGACCAAAAAGCCCCCCCCCCCCCCCCGACACAGTGTTTTTGTGTTTCAATGTTCTCACATTCAGCACTATAGGGCGATATAAAGGCTAATCAATATTCATGACAAGTCCCTCCCTACGTTTCTATTTGAAAGGTAATAGAGCACTATGCTAACTGTTTCAAATGAACTGTATACTGTCCAATGTCAGCATTTTAGCATAAATACAGGTGAATCTGAGTTTTTCTGTTTCATGACTAGACACACATTTAGATGTCTCAAATTGTGGAGAGGTGCAAAGTATCTTATAATATATATAGTCATCATTACATGTTAAACTGTGAGAATTAAGCAGATTTTTTTAAAAAGCCAAACATGCCCCTCCACTCAAACATACTTTTATCTTTTCTGAAGTTGAATCTTGTTGGCTACATACTTTTCAAGAGTATTCAATGGCATTTCATTTTGATCCATCTAAGTGGTGTAAGTGCAGGTTTGGGCTTTTCTGGGTCAGCAATGCAGTATCATATTTTACCTGCAAGTGTGATGGAACATACTAACAGACTTGCATTGCGTTCAGAATAAACCTGCGCTCACAAAGCGGTTGGCAAAGTAACGGGGAGTTGTAGGGATAAGAATATATTCGGCACGGTGCAGACAAACAAAGAAGTTCCCTATGACAAGCAGGAGAGAAATCGTCAGGCCTCAAGAGTACATGGTCAGCTGAAGCCACTGAAGAGAAACAAGAGCAGAGAAAACATTTATTTAAACACAGATGTCTTTTCATCTGAAGCAAGCTTTTTTTTAAGAAAAAAGAAAACAATCCAGTATAACCCCGATAAAAATTCAAATAACTGCGATCCCTTTACCTCCTGAACGTTGACTTTGATGGTCCCATTGTTGTCTTTATCCAGGGTTTTGAAGGCACCTGAATCAGAGCAGAGCAGTTTAGCCAACAGCAATTTTCACTAGATTATTACAGCCATGGGGAGATTAACCTTTTGGGGCTTTCCTTCTATAAGTACAGACAAAGATCCAAACGTTTTGGGGCTTCAAACTCAACAAACAGACTGATTTCTGGTGGCTTGTGAATCCTACAGCGACCCCTTTTGGGTGGGACTACAATACAGCCAAAGCTGCTGCTATTTATAGATTAAGTATCAAATGCCAGCACATTTTACGGTCACATATTATTCTCATTTTCATCCAATTTGAATAAGTCTCAGAACTCCCCAAACACATCTGTGAAGATTCTTGTTGTAAATCCACTCTGATCCTGTATTTGATCATGTCTATAAACCCCTCTATTTCAGCCCTGCTCAGAACAGGCTGTTTCTGTGTCTGTACCTTTAAATATGTAAATGAACGGTGTCTGACCACGCTGGAAGGGCTCGGGTGGCTCTGGCTTTCTCGCTCCTTGTTTACGGTGAGAAGACAGACTCAGAGGGCAGAACAAACACCTAGCTGTGGGAGTGTCACCCACCTGGGGGAGGGGTTACTGCCCTTTGTGATGTCATGAAGGGAAAATCTCCAAACGGCCTGTTTGAGCACACACTTTCTAAAAAGTGGAGCAGGCAAAAGATAGAGAGGATGGACTTTTCTAATAATTGGGGGGTTTATTAGACAGACTAGGAACACATAATAGTGTTAGAGAAACATGGATTTAGCATATGTCGCCTTTAATTTTAAGAAGCCTGTGTGTTGAGATGAAATCCAAATCAATTGAATACATAGATACGTAATATAAATGTTCTTATTTGAAGTTTTCATTGAGCTACATTTGGCTGAAGGGTTATCAAAGTATCAAAGCTTTAAATACTAGTCTTCATTCTGTGTTAAAAAAATAATAACAATCTCAGTGAACTTTATCACAAAGTGCCTAGGTATAACGGGAAACAGATCCAGACCCCACCACACACTTTCAGTGGGTTATAAGTGTTACTTTACAGGAAATCTTCTTTTTATGAACTAATGAATCATTTATTAAGGAAATCTTTATCTTAATGCACAGTATGAACAGTATCAAACGTGTTGTGTTCAGTGAACTTTCTGTAAAAGCATAATAAATGTTTATGAAACAATTTTGTTGTTGTGTGGTAAGTAAGAAGTATCACATATAGGTTTCCACTCTTTAAGCTTTTACCAGAGAGAGAAATCTATTAAATGTCCTTTATTTTCTACATAGTTACATAGCATCAGGTAGAACTGTCTCATCAGGTTCTCTCTGTTCTTGTTGAACTTATTGGAGCATTAAGCTGTTAATATTTCTGAACTGTGTAACTGAATGGAGCCCCTCAATGTTTGGAGCTTTTGATGTCCTCAGGCGATATTTTCTTTACGCCAGTGTTCGTTCAAAACACTGAACTTTACAGAGCTTTGGTCCCCCCCCGCCCCTCTCTTCTTTAATTAGTAATTATTTTACATCTTTCAAAACTTACGGCACATGGCATCCAGCCGGACAAGGCAGCCAATGTAGTTGTCAAAGTCCATGTTCCCACCTTCATCGCTGTATCTGCGGATGATCATGTGGAACAGCTGGTCATTGAGGGGGAAGCCTGAGGACGAGAGGAGCCAAATCATCACTTTATATGAATATTTTACAGCATTCACACAAAGGACACATTGCACTGCTTATCATAAATATATTCACAGACTGGTAAGATAGTGTAATCATTAAACGCTTTCTACAGCAGCCCAAACAAAACGCTCTTTGTAGGAACATCTGACTGGCTGCTCCAATATCTATGCAAGGAGTTGAAATATTAACCGAGCAGCTTATTAATTAACTAGTATTCGCTGGATCCAATAAAATGATGTTAGCTGAAGAGTTAATTTGTTTTTTTTAAAGATGATTATTTGGGCTTTGTTTGACAGGAAAGAAGTAGAGAGACAGGAAATGTGTGGAGAGAGAGAGAGAGAGAGAGCAGGAACAGACATGAACGACAGAGGATCTGGATTCAGACCAATGGGAGGTTCATGTAGGCGTCTTTGGTTCACTGAAGCCTCTCTACATGGGGTACCTGCTCTACCAGCTGAGCTCTATGGATACCCCGCAGAAGAAAATCACTGCCTTACCAACTCAACATTTGGTTCACTAATAACAGAAACTAATACCATTTAAAATAAAGGTTTCTGCCTCACAGTTCAAAACCAATAATATCTACCGGTATGTTGTAAACGTGCACAGACATGACTTACTATTTACTTACTGTGTCGTGGTATTAACACTTTCGTTTTGGCTGCACCTTTTTAGTAGCTGAGAAAAAGTTTGAAGAGAATTATTAAAAACAAAGAAACCTCACCAGCAGCTGTGAAAGCCTTAGGAAGCTCATCTGCACCGATGACACCAGAACCATCAGCGTCGTAGGATTTGTAAATTTCCTGAACAATAACAAGAAAAAACGTTTCTAGTTTGAGATCAATGTCATACTTCACAGAAAATCTGATTCACAACCGAAAAACAAGCAAAAGTAAAAAAACTGAATGTTCTATCGAATTTAAACAGAAGCAAATGTGTGTTGAATAACTCACTGCCATCTTAAAAAATAGAAAAGAATATTGGCTAACTAAAAGTAGAGGCCGGCTGATATTAGCATATCCAGTGGTAATCGGTTTCGGCTTATTTTATCGCAGATATGTGCCAATATTTCAAGTTTTATTCACCAGTCAAATATCATTTCATTCGAGTATCGTTGGATTACTCTAGCATTTCTTTTTCACCAGCAGGGTGCACTTTAAGGATTACAACAAGCATCATCACTCTCCAGAGTGTCAAGAGGTGAGGCTCATACATGCACTGTTACTTTAGATTTGAGTGACCATCTTTTCTTCATTGTATATCTTTTCCACGAGTGTTTGATAACTACATTTAAAGGATCAACACAATAAATGTTTAAATCTAAATCTATCTATCTCTAAAGATCCAAGAAAGATCAGTATCTGATTTTTTTTCTCTGAATATCGATATCGGTATCGGACCCCAAAAATCCCATATCTGTCAGGCCCGAGTTATGAGTGCCTTTTAATAAATACTATACCAATAATTAATGTCAATGTAAGACATGGCAGCTCATTGAGGATAAAAATCAGACTCTGGCCTACAGGAAGTTCAAACCAAAGTCCTCCTGAAACAGCTGATAGAGTGTTTATTTATTCCACATACAGGGTCTTCTGTCCCGACAGTAAATAGACATGATTAAGCACTGAGTAAAGGAACCGTGCAGCACACAAACAAAAACAGGGAAATAAAAGACACTTACCTGCCATTTCTTAATGTTGTTCCAGAGTTGTTTGAATTCATGAAAGCCGAGTTTCCCAGTGCTATCACTCTGAGATGTGATTAAGGAAACAGAAAGCATGAAGCGTTCTAACTACGTTTGATGAAGGTGCACCTGAGCAAGTTTTAAACACTACAGAAGGCGTGTTATTTTATTTTTACTGTTCCATGTGTTTGTTGATGCTTAAGCATTTCCCCCTTAAAAAAAAGCAATCTAAAAAAAAAAAAGGCTTTTTACTTCCTTCCAGAACAGACAACACCTTTTCTGCTTTAGCTTGAGCTTCTTGTGAGCAGGCTGTGTTTGCACAAGGTGTGTTTTTATGAGCCTTCCTCATTCAAGAGTACAGAATTCACAGCAGGGAACAGGTATCCACTTTTTGTTGGACTTGTTATAAACTCTGTAGTGGTGGTTTACATGACAGATTACAGGGATCTCATCATTCCTGTTTACCAAAGGTACACAGTTTACAATATTATTACTGCTTCTACTAAATATGTAACAGATGATTAATAAAGAAGAATAAAGAGTTTACATTACATTATTATTGAGTCTTCACTTACACAAGCCTTGTTGGGCTGTGTCAATATTTCTGCCCATTTCTAGCTAAATACGTTTCAAAAGACTTTTTTTTTATCGCCTTTTCAACATATTGGATTTGACCTAGGGACTCTTAAAACCAATGAAGACAGCAGAGAGAGAACAGGTGGAGAGATATCTGAAACGACACGTTTGAATAAACTTACAACTGGACTGGTGCGTCACAGCTGTGTTATTTACAGTGGAGAATAAACAGGCCTCTCCAACAATCTTAGCATAGTCTCAAGGTTAAAGCCTCACAAATTCAGAGTTCATTCATCCCTATTATCCAATACCACAGTCTTTTCTAATACGGTCTCAATGTGTTAATTTATGTCAGCAGCCCTAATAAGCTGTGGGTGTGAGTGCTGCTTTACAGACAGCTGGTGATGTATTTGTGTGGTCACCGTCACCTAGAAAACACAAACCATAAAGTCTCCTCATGATAGAAAGGATACATCCATGACTGCCACCATGCTCCTACATGACTCGATGCTGAAACCATCCGTCTTCAGGTCTCCACCTTTAATCACAAAGGAAGAGAGTCCATCATCATGTCGAGTCTCTCTTAGTTTGGTTTAGTTTATTTACACATTTTCTGAAGGAAGAGTCAAACAGAAAAATAAAACAAATAAAAAATAAAACACATGCAGGTGAGGTAGAAACCCATGAGGGCTTATCTCAAAACATCACCTTAAGAGATTAAACAAAGTTAAAATAAAATACAGTAAAAATAACAAAGTAAGAAAATGTACACAATTGAAAATGACATACAAACATTGAAAACATAAAAATAGAGCAAAACAGGACATACAGTGTGTAGACAATATAACAAAATCAGGACAATTCACTATTCACTACAAATCTTTCTGACATTCAATCTCAGTCTCAATTTGTATGTAGAAAAAGACAAAAAATCATCAAGTAAATAAAGATGCATGTTCCATAATTTTGACTTCACGGTATCTTATTGAGTCCTCGAGATGTAGTCTCTCTTCTCATGACACATGGAAACGTGTACAACTGTCAAAAGGACTTGATGACAACAGAAAAAGGCAGACACTCACGCTTTGAGACGATTCTGTTTAGGATGTTCATCAGCTCGTTTGGGCTCACTTCCATGTCCTATATGACAAAAAAACAATAAACATGTAATATTTAAATATCATACAGTAGGTGGAAACCTGCATTGACAAATAGAAGGTGTAGATATCTATTTTTTTATGGTTAAGGGGGAATTTGTTCACTATAGACAGCTGCTTGAATCATTGCATCTAATCACACACACACCAATCACAGCTCATTCCCACATCAAGGCGGTCCATTTAAACACAACTTCTGTCTCACTGATCTCTGCTGCACACACTCTGCTGCTGGCAACACTTTGCCTGCACCACCCCAGCAGCCTCCTTTCCCCCCCCACCCCCCGTGGGGCTTTCCTACATTTATGACAAGACTGTTCCTGGCTGAAATAGATATTATAGGTAGCGACAAAAAGATGAAAGCCATATCCATGTTATTTTAGGACTCACCTCTCCAGCAAGCTGCTGGAAGACTCTGCGGAACTGCTTCTCCTCATCGCTCTCATGTGCCTCGGCAAACACTGCTGGTCTGCGTGGTGGAGGCTGTCAGACAGACACAAAACACACATTACAATCCTACGTTAAGAAGACTTCTTATTTTCATATAGAGCTCTTGCTGTAAAGGTTACTCACAGGTTCAGAGGGCACAAACTGGGCTGGATCGATGTTGCTGTAAGGATCAAACAATGACAAGAAGAAGTTAAACCACACAACTTTATCTACACAACGTTATCTTTGCCTCGACAGATTCTTCATACAGATTCTTACCTGACAACATTAATGACGCCACTGAGGAACTGTTTGGCAAAAAACATCTTCTGTCAACTGTGAACACAAAATAAAGCACAAACGTTTGACAGCAAATCCCCATTTCAAGTCCAGAAATTCAGGTTGACTTCCTCAATTTGTGATCATCCAGGGAGTTGGTAGAAAGAGCTGTGACCACCTGCTGCAGGTGCAAAATTAGTAGAACATTATTTTGTTGCAAACTACATTCAAGAAAGTAATTTGACCTGATTTTCAATGTTTTTCCTCTCAAACCCTTACGCGTGTCATTTATTTGGAACTGTCCAAAAATGTCAAAGTCAAACTGACATGAGCCTGAACACAACATTATGCCATCTAAAGCAATCATACACATTAGATCTACCATTAATTATACTTTTACGAAGCTTATACATTTCAGCTTTTGTTGACATGGTCATAAATGTGATAACTCTACTTTCATTTTCATTTTGAAGGATTTTATTGATCCCGCAAGGGGAAATTCTGTTTTTACACTCTGTAGTCATGCAACACACACATAGGTGTGCTGAGCTAGTGGTGGGTAGGGGGTTTGGTGCCTTGCTCAGGGGCACCTCGGCAGTGCTCAGAAAGCGATCTGGCACCTCTCCAGCTACCAGACCAACTTCCATATTTGGTCCGCACCGGGACTTGAACCGGCGACCCTCCGGTTCCCAGTCCCTACAGACTGAGCTACTGCCGCCCCCATATCACTTTTCTGACCATGTTTACATAAAGTGAACATGTAGAAGCTTCTTTAAAGTAGAATTTATGAAATAACTATTGTATTGTATTGTGATTGATTATATAGGTGGCCATAATATTCTGGCTGATTGGTGTATGATTCAGTTCCCAGTGGATTATTTTGAATAGGTAAAACATCAGTAAGAATGGAAAGCCTCAGTAGTAGATGTCACACAAACTAATAGCAGTGTGAATGTAGCCATTACTGTCGTAAATAACTAGGTTTAACGTTGTTAACTATTAGCTGAAGTTTGTGCAATGTAAACCAGTTAAGCCTCAGCGTAGCGCTGGTTTAGCTGGTTTGTCAATCACGTCTTCTCCAGTTTTCTTCTCCAGTTGTAATTATCAGCACACCAACCAGCCCCCCTTAAAATATTTCCTGTTCTGGGAAAGAAACCTAATGCCACACCCAGAGAGCAAAGAGGTCGCATTTAGAAGGTTATCTTACTGCGTCATATGTTAATATCTGTATGGATGAAATGTAAAAAGTTCACAAAGGTTTGTAAAATACATATTAAAGTTTTATAGGAGATAAAAGCCCTGAAACCCGCATCAGACAGGGCTGACTGTTAACTCCATAATTAGCATCATTTCTAGTAAGTTTGTGGTATATATCTCTTTAGCTGCTGCTGCACAATATTTGTAAAACGTTTTCTTTATGTAATACATTATTAATATATATATAGTAATATATTCACTTAACAGTACGGATGTAGCTTCGCTGCAGCGCAATGGCGTTAGCATGAGTAGCTAACTAACTTTAGCTTAAGCTAGGCTAACAGTAAGGTAACTTAGAAGGGTCGTGAGGGAGGCTCAGTTAAATTCAACAACACTCATTATCTACCTGATAAACCCTGTTTAGTTCCTCGCTGTTTTCTACTGTGAACGATCCCCTGTGTCATGTATCATACGGATATATTTACCGTCGGGGCGCAGCGCTGTGTAAAGTTGAGTTCAGCTGTCAGGAGGGTCCGTCAACAACACGACTGAGTCTGCAGAGAGGGAGGGGATACAAGAGAAGAACTGCTGTTTCCGGCTTCGTGTTTCAGACACAAAATGTTTATCTCGATGTGATGCAGCCTTTACAGTCTATGGATGCAGCATGATGAAGTTGTTAATTGTATAACGGAACTGCCGAGGCGTTTATTCTGTCAGCGATTAAAGAAGTGTGTGTGGATAATTTTCAGAGTTTGTTCCGCGCATGCGCAGTGTGATAAACTACACATCTCGGGTTTACTTTAAACGTAAGGAGTTGAGATTTTACAATTAAACATTTCGTCACGTGTTTAAAGTATACACGTATTGTTCAGTCAATATATTTCATCAAACAATTCCATCATTTATTTTCGACGGACATTTAATGCAGCAGTGGGGAGCTCAACGTACCGTCCCATGAGGAAGTCAACCTCTTGATATCTATATCATCTTTTCCGATGCTATCATCGAATCTTTTCTTTTTTAATAGATTTGTGTGAACTCAGGTAAAGCTGGTTCCTGCCACCACCTGGTGTGAACTAGTCAAAAAAGGAACTGCAGCCCCTCAACTGTAGCCCTTGTATACAGGACTATTTTACTATTCCTATTTCCTCCACACAAATAGTTAACTTCCAGTAAAATGCTTTGGGGTTCTGCCCCTTTCCCCTTATGAAGTAGATGCAAAGCAGGCTTTTTACTTTGTGTTCAAATCATAAACAGATTGAAAAGTCATGTAAAAGATTTTAGGCCTGCCTAAACACCAATGTATTGTGACAGATGTCTACCTGTGCACGTTAATTTATCTGAATTCCACACAATTTTATAATTTTTAAAAGCTTTGTGTTTCTTTTCCCTTTGTCATGCTGTTTTTCATGTGTGAAATGTGCTGTAAATAAACTTGCTTTGCGTTGTCTTATAATCTCACAGAGAAGGATAGTTATTACCTGTGCTATAATAAAATGTGTTTAGGGCACTAACCCCTCTAAACCAATAACAAAATAAAAACAAACTATAACCAGATTTATTGCACACGACAAGTGAAACTGCTCTTTTAAGGGGTCTTCTTTTTTAAAAGTCTACTGGCAACAGTGAACCTTAGTTTATGCTGAGAAGGTACAAACAAAGAGATACACAAAACATTACAAATTAAGTTGATATATTGGCAATTGTAAATTGCAACATGTTTTCTTTGAAAATATCTTGATCAATATGCCATCCCACTGTGCTTCTCACATGTTATTATGGTTTTGCATTACGGAAAGTATTTAAATATGACTTGCATTATCTGTTTCTACAACAGGGGAGAATGAGCTCTCTGATCAGGAAGGTCACTTACTTTCTCACTCAGTTAACCCTTTCTGCATTCGTCCACAGAGAAATGACACTGGTCTTCATTTAGCAACCTCTTTGACCCGGGTCAGTCCCTGAACCCAGAGTGACAGCTAAAGCTCCACTATCATCGGCAGGATGGCCTCCCTGCCACACATCAGCTTTTACTTTGCTTTATGAAAGATCTCTTTGGAAAATAATATTTCTGTGGCGGTTTAAAAATTGGACAGAGGAACTGGAGCGTTGTTGTAAAGCCCTCTGAAGATTTGCCAATGGACTGTTTAAAAATGATAGCACTACATTTTGAATAATTAAACACCGCTTAATGAGAACTGGGAGAAAATTGTGTTTTCAATTATTTTGACAAAATCCTATTCTCAGATAATTGGATCATAAAAGCTGTGATTTCTCCATACTTGAGTTGAATTGTGCCAAACTGCCAACAGGACTTTTACTGTTCTGTGATCAGGACTGTTGAGTATGATATAAAAATGCTTTTGTTTCTGCACATGGAGAAGAGAAAGCAGTAGTCACATATATGACTGTCAAATGTGACAGTTTGTCCATCAGGTTCAGGATGTTTGGGGTTTCTCCAGAGATGAAGAAGAACTTTTATTCTAAACAGTTTAAGTCTAAAACATACTTTCATGTCCTCTTCAGTACAGTAAAATGTCAGTTTAGTAAATTATGGTCCCATTTAAAGTCAAATTTACAAAGAAAGGTAGCCCATGTTTTAGGGTGTGGCCACCATGTGATCGAGAAGATGTTCCCAATATTATCTGAAAAATGTCTTTCTGTGTTTTCAGGATTTTAATGTTCATTTAGAAGTCATATAATTTGGTTTGCCTGCATTTCCATCAGCCAAACTAAGCATCCCAAATAATTTCACGTTATTTTTAGGATGCTACAGATGCATCTTGCTAACCAAGCTAGCTGCCTTGTGAGCTGGCTTCTTTCTCTCGCCTCTGAATTTGGTCACTTCTGGCCCTTGAAAAATAACAGCATTGTTGTTTCCAAAATGCCAAACTCAGAGGCAATAGCAACACATCATAAATCAAAGGGAGGACATTAAGGTGGATAAGGTCACATTTGACATCTTTCTCTTTCAGGGAGATGAAACAGAACAGTTGAGCAGTCACACTCCTTACATGATGATTTTCTACAAAACAACCTAAATACATAGAAAGGGTTAGAAAGATGAATCATTTGAATATTTGCTCCCAGACAAATGTCCTATTTATTCAGCTGCCTGTTTTGCCACACCTCCACACAGGCCATCCACAGGACAGCGCCCCCCTCAGGTCTAACTGTGTCATCATTGAACTGCAACTGAAGGACACAAACTTTTTTTCAACATGCTGTCTCTAAAGTGTCACTAAAGTTTTTCCAAAAGTGTTTTTGAAAGTCTTCCCAAATGCAGATTTTAATGCGTTTGCATGCAGGTGCAGAATAAAACCAGCAGGTGGAGCCAGAGAGCATTTGACAGAGTAGACACTACTGTATGTTCTGTATTCAGCATGCAAACACTGTAGGTACAAGTCATTTGCATAAATGTTGATCTGTCTGCAATCTGCTAAATGAAGATGTGAAACACTGTCTGCACTGCCAGGCCTTCAGAGGCTGTCCGTCCGTTTAATCATTATTATTTTTTGACTCCGTGATGTGGAGGTTGGCGTCCATAATTGCAATTTTAAGCATGAAAGGATTACTAATGATGAATTACAATTACTCTTATTTCACATATCAGTCCATAGGAAAAGAGGATCCTCCAAATAAACCACAATTAACAGACTAACCTCTTATACCGGCATCAATCAGTTATTTTTGTTTCACTGATTGTCAAAGCCACAAAAACAAAGATGTAGATTTTTCTAGAAAATGTTCTGACTATCTTACCCTGTGACAGTGAAGTATACTCTTGTTTCAAACTGGCTGAATGTCATGTCAGTGCTGCTCAGTTTTTATCATTGCTACATCTCCTCGTAATCCCCCGTGGTTGGAGCGCCCATGGTTGCCTTGACACTGAAGAAAGTCTCTCCTCAACACTTTCTACTATCACTACAATAAAAACATATGACTCAATGTTTAGATAGATAGATAGATAGATAGATAGATAGATAGAGATAGATAGATAGATAGATAAATAGATAGATAGATAGATAGATAGATAGATAGATAGATAGATAGATAGATAGATAGATAGATAAATAGATAGAGATAGATAGATAGATAAATAGATAGATAGATAGATAGTAAATGTACTGTATCAGTATAGTATTCAAATCGTGGCAATAAAAAAAGACAGAAAATGTATAAATTACCAATAAAATACTGTAAACAGTGTGATGGAGCCAACTCCCTGTATTGGCATTATGACATTTCTACTTAAATAAATGTTGGTGTTAATGCTGAGGAGAAGGTGCACAATCCTCCCACTTGTCTAAAAAAAAATCAAAGTTTATAACAATGGGGAAGGGGGGGGGTTCATTTCCCTTTTTAATGTCATGTTTATTCTAAAGAGGAGAATGCTTACTCACAATCATAAAACAAATATGTAAAGAAAAGCAAAACAAGATCCTCACACCTCGTCACTGATCACTCAATCCTTCAAACGGGAGCTTCATGGTGTGCAAACCTCGTTTGCTTTTCTTTACCTATTTGTGTTTAATGGATCCAGCACCACCGGAGGGATGTGCGTGTCTTTTTTGATTTTTCAACAATTAAGATACAACAATGAGAATATAAGAAAAACTTATCCTCATCCTTTTATAGGGACATAAATATCTGTATAATATCCTTAGAATAATATTTTATACTCTACACTCGTATATAATATAATACATAATAAGCTATACATTATAAACATACTATGCTGGGAGAGGTAGATGGAAGCTTAGCTGCTATGTAAAGTATTTAATGTATATCATATAAGATCTGGAAAGTTACAGCTTTAACAGAGATCTCTTTATAATTTAGATTTTCTTCCTAACCTCTACTCTGCTAATGTCCTTAAACTGATATCCTCTTACGGGCGCTGAGAGTCGGCAGCCTGTTGCAGCAGCTCCGACTCTTTTTTTCGTCTATTTTTTTGCTTTTATTAAGTATCTTATCTATTCTGTTTCATGTGTATTTGAGCTTTCTTGTCTGTGCTGCTGTAACGCCCGAATTTCCCCTCTGGGGATCAATAAAGTACTATCCTATCCTATCCTATCCTATGATTGTTCCTCACCTGCTGGATTATATATTACCTGTCACATTACACGGTGGTTTTTTTATGATTTACAATTTAATTGCCTTTTATTTTTACATGCAGACATAAACAACATCTATAACATTTGGAGTTATTGTGTCCCACATTCTATATTGTGTTAGTGACAACAATAACGTGGGGTTGTTATGTAAAAGGTTGTTGTTTTTTCTTTTACATATGTTGTTTATGATATTGTTATTAGGTCACTGAGTTATAAACAATTTCATCCGTTGCATCACAGCCTTATTTCTGTGAATGCACGACTGTTTGTGCAGAAAACGACCTGCATGTCATCGTCTCTTGGTGCACTGCATTCCACTCAGGGATTCCTATTATCACCACACATCATGTAAACTACATGTAAACCTGCATGCATGTGTTTGGAGGTTTGTGGAGTGTATGCTGATATCTAAGATGTGATAATATATGATGTGTGGTGCAGAAAACAGTGATATGTATCCTTCAGATCCCACTCCAGCTAAAATTACTCCATCCATGAAATAGAGGTATCCATGGTTACATCAGGAGCCATGTTAAAGGGTGCCTCGGAGTATCTCTGTTCTCTGGAACCTTTCTCCTCATTCATCATTTGAAGAAAATTACTGTGCCACCCCAAGGTTTTC